GGGAGGAAGTAGGATCATTGCTGCTGCTCAGAGGGAATTACAATTATTGAGATGAAACAAAGTATAAGATGTTGAATACAAAACTGATTTTTTTTTTCTGTAAACCTTTGCTCAATTCACAATAAAAAGTCAAATAAATAATTAAAAAAAAAAAGCTCATGACTATCTAAGGTGCAAATATTGGTGTCTCTCTGTGTGGAGGAAAGAAGGGTAAAGAAAATTGAAGATATATGGAAACAATAAGTCCAGTGGACTAATGGACCATGTGACTATCTGTTTCCATGACCTTGAGACCAAAAGAACTAGATGGTACCCAACTACCATTACCAACTGGTCTGAAAGGGGTCACATTAGAAGGTCCTGCATAGAGTTTGGGGTGGGGTGGGGGGGAGTGGGAGGTAGAAATGTAGACAAAAATCAAAATCATCAAACAAGACCAGATTTACTGATCAGACATAAACTGGTGAAACCACCAAGACTATGCTCCTTAGACACCTTTAGGTCTGGAAATGAACTCATCCTGACAACTCAATTTTCACCAAACAATAGACAGGCCTATAAAGGGATCAATAACACAGGGAGGGACAAACATCTTAGGATAATTTGAGATCAAAAGGGCAGTATGTACCCAAGGTCAAAGTTCAGAAGGGTTAGAAAAGGAGGAGAAATGGAAACAGGAAACACAGGGGGAAGTGGAATCAGTGATGTTACATTGTGGGCATTGCAATCAATTACATGAAACAAAATGTGGATGAATTATTGAATGGAAAACTCATCTGCTCAGTAAACCTTCATCAAATTCATAGAAAAGAAAAAGAAAATGGTGCCGTGGCTGGGGCCAACCTATGGGGCCAACTACCGTGGTTGACAATTGTCTTATCTCCACGACCCACATAGAGAGATTAAACCCGAGTAGGGGTGATGGGGGATGAGAAATAAAAGAAAGACACAAGAAACATTTGAAAATAGAATAGTTGAGACCAGGTGGGACGCAGCACTCTGATGGAGATACTGCGACACAGACCTAGGCAGCGAGTTTATAACCTCATATGCATGTGAAGCTGGACAGTGAATAAGGAAGACCATAGAAGAACTGATACTTTTGAGTTATGGTGTTGGAGGAGAATATGGTGTTGGAGGAGAAAGTGCCATGGGCTTCCATTTTGTTAGAAGTGTAGCCAGAGTGCTCCTTGGAGGCCAAGATGGCCAAACTTCGTCTCTCATACTTCGTACATATTTTCAGGAGGGACCTGTCACTGGAGAGAGATATCATGTTTGGTAAGGTGAAGGGTCAGAGAAAAAGAGGAAGACCCCCCAACGAGATGGATTGGCCAAGTGGCAGCATCGATGGACTCAAGCATGGCAACAGTAGTGAGGTTGGCCCAGGATTGGGCAGTGTTTCGTTCTGCTGTGTATAAGGTCGCTATGGGTCGGTACTGACTCGATGGCACCTAAGGACAACAAAGGGAGGTGCTTGGGGGCAGGGTAAAGAATAACATCTGGTGTTTTGATGCATGCAGTAAGTGGGGCTTTAGCAGAAGAATGTAGTTGCTAGGGAAACACAGATAGCGCTGCTAGAATGTTGTTCAGGCTGAGCCGAAGGTCATAGCTAAATACAAGGAAAGACCTTGCAAGTTCCCTGTCCCCTGAAGCAGCGCTGCATGTTCCTCAGGGGTGGGGCTTGACCTGGAAGCAGCCTGAGTTTCTGGACCACGACTGTTCAGTTGCAATCCTTTGGTTAAACTACCCCCAAGTCAGGAACCTTCAGCTCACCTGCTCCCAACAAAATGGATTTTTACTATTTCAATAAAAACATTTTAAAATGTAAGAAAAAGGAGAAATAATAATTTTAAAATTGGACGATGGATATATAGGTATTCCTTAAATCATTATTTTTTATATTCTATGTATCTTACATACATTTTAGACTCTTTTGTATCTACTTTTGTTGTTAAGTGCCACTGCGTCAGTTACAATACCTGTATGCCCATCGTCCAATTTAAAAAGGATTACTATTTCTCCCTTTTCTTACAAATGGAACAAAATGTTCACAGTAGAGAAATCTCAGTAACATATATGAGGGTAAGTCAAAAAGTATTGCTATAAAACACACAGAAACCTTTACTAAACAAAAAGACCAAAATGTGAAGCTATTGTTTCTCGCCATATTCTCCGTCTAGACCTATGCATTTCTGAAGGTGATGTTTCCATCTCTAACCCTTCCAGGAAGCTGGATTATGAAGGAAAATGCAACATCAGGATTGAAGGAAGATTCATTAACAATCTGCCACAGGAAGATGACACAATCTTACTTGCTGGAAGTGAAGAGGACTTGAAATACATACTAATGAAAACCAACAACATAAATGGTGAATATATACATGGACCTCAACAGATGGAATATATAGCAATCTATCTGACTATATTTGTGGAAAGAGACCATGGAGAAACTCAATGTCATCAGCCAAAAGACCAGGGGCCAACTGGAACAGACCATCAATTGCTTATGTGCAAGTTCAGGCTGAAGTTGAAGTAAATGAAAACAAGTCCAAGAGAGCCAAAATACAAACTTGAGTACATCCCACCTGAAATTAGAGACCATCTCAAGAACACATTTGATGCATTAGACATTAATGACTGAAGACCAGAGGAGTTGTGGGATGACATCAAGAACATCATACAGGAAGACAGTAAAAGGTCACTAAAAAGACAGGAAAAAAAGGATCAAAATGGATGTCAGAGGAGACTCTGAAACTAGTTTTTAAATGTAGAGGAGCTAAAGTGACTGGAGGAAATGATGAAGTAAAAGAGTTGAACAGAAAACTTCAAAGGGCAGTTTTCAAGACAAAGTCAAGTATTATAAAGAAATGTACAAATACCTGGGGTTAGAAAACCAAAAACAGGCTCTGCATTTGTCAATCTGAAAGAACTGAAAAAAAAAATCAAGCCTCAGGTTACAGTACTGAAGGGTTCTATGGGAAAAATATTGAATGATGCAGGAAGTATCTAAAAAAGATGGAAAGAATACAGAGTTACTGTATATAAAGAATTGGTCAGTACTCAACTATTTCAAGAGGTAGGGTATACTCAAGAACCAATAGTATTGAGGGAAAAAGTCCAACATGCACTGAAGGCACTGGTGAAAAACAATGCTCCAGGAATTCACAGAATACAAACTGAAATGTTTCAACAAACTGATGTAGCACTGCAGGCACTCACTCATCTATGGCAAGAAATCTGGAAGATCTGGCCAACTGATTAGAAAAGATTTGTATTTGTGCCTATTCCAAAGAAAGGTGATCCAGTGGAATGTGGAAATCATTGAACAATATTAATATCATATGCAAGTAAAATTTTGTTTAAAACAATTACAAAACAGTTGCAGCAGTACATTGACAGGGAACTGCCGGAAATTCGAGCCAGATTCAGAAGAGAACATGGAATGAGGGCTATCATTGCTGACGTCAGATGGATCTTGGCTGATAGCAGAGAATTCCTAAAAGATGTTTATTTGTACTTTATTGACTACGCAAAAGCGTTCAACTGTGTAGATCATAATAAACTGAGGATAATATTGCAAATAGCAGGAATTCCAGAACATCTAATTGTGCTCATGAGGACCCGTACATAGACTAAGGTAGTCATTCAAACAGAACAAGCAGATACTGAATGACTTAAAATTGGGAAAGATGTGCGTCAGGGTTGTATCTTTTTACCATATTGAACTTAATTTGTATGCTGAGTAAACAATCTGAGGAGCTAGATTATATGAAGAAGAATGTGGCATCGGGATTGGAGCAAGACTCATGCAGATGATACAACCTTGCTTGTTGGAAGTGAAGAGGACTTGAAATATATACTGATGAAAATCAAAGCCTACAGTCTTCGTTATGGATTGCACCGCAATGGAAAGAAAACAAAATACTCACTACTGGATCAGTAAATACCATCATGATAAATGGAGAAAAGACTGAAGTTGGCAAAGGCTTCATTTTGCTTGGATGCACAATCAATGAACGCTATTGGAAGCAGCAATAAAAAAAAACACTCTCTCTTTAGATATTAAAGAGCAAAGACATCACTCTGAGGACTGAGGTGTGCCGGACTGGAACCATGTTATTTTCTGACTGGAGATATGGTATGATCACCTCACAAGCATATGAATGTTGGACAATGAATAAGGAAGCGAATAGAAGAATTGATGCATTTGAATTAATGGTGTTGGCGAAGAATATTGAAAGTACCATGGAACTTTAGAAGTGAGGATGGTGAGAATTATCTCATACTTTGTACATGTGATCAGGAGGGACCAGTCTCCGGAGAAGGATGTCATGCTTAGTAAAGTGGAGGGTCAGCTGAAAAAGGAGGAAGACACCCCCCACCCCAGCGAGATGGATTGATACAATGGCAGCAACAGTGGGTTCAAACTTCACAACAGTTGTGAGGATGGCACTGGGACAGGCAGTGTTTCATTCTGTTGTGCTCAGGGTAGCTATGAGTTGGAACTGACTCAGCAGCACCTAACAATAACAGCATGCCTCAATTTTCTTATGTACAAAATGGGGGTGATTGTAGTACTTATCTGATAGGGTGTGTGTGTATAGATGAAACATACTAATAAACAAACGTAAAGTGCTTAGAATAAGGGCTTCTGGTGTGGCACCATAGGATCAGCACTGGACTGCTAACTATAAGGCTGGCAATTCAAACCCACCAGCTGTTCCTCAGAACCAACTGGATGGCACTTAACAGCCACCACGCTTACGATAATGCCTGACCATAGTCATAACTCAAGAAATGTTAGCTATTATTATCATTATGTTCGAAGCATCTGTCATAAAGAGGAAAGAAATGAGTTGGAATGTTTATGCCTTTTGGATAATAAAATCAAACAAAGTTGCTTCGTTGTTAAGGGAGAGAAGACTTCTCTCTGATGCTAGCAGAAAGAAAGGAAGACTAGAGAACCTGGCTGATGCTGAGTATCTACTACAACCCAATACCTTTGGTGGTTCTGTGGTCATCTTGATGCTGGCCTGCAAGATGGAGATAGGGAAGTCTGGATGGGGACTGGAGCTGAGCCAGAGGCGGAAGGCAGGGTGAGGATCCTCCACCTGCAGCTGTTCCACCAGCTTATCCAGATGAGGCATCCAAGACAAGGACAGGTGGCAGTTAGCCAGGAACACCCAGTGTCCTGCAAGGAGACGCTGGGCTCAGTGGGCATCATTTCCTAAGACCCACTAGTTCCCACCCCTTCCAAATGCTCAGGCCTGCCACTCCTGGACCTGTCTGGAAAAGTGGGAACTGCCATTGTAGTAGTTTCACTGAAGTCGCAGATGCTGCGGGGCAGGCCCAGGGCCAGGACAGGGGTGTGAGAGCAGGATGGACACTGACCCTGAATCACACCCTCTCTGAGGAGCCGAGCAGCTATAGGGGCCTGGCCCTGGCCCAGGGACAAGGCGTTGAAGCGCTGTGCCATTCCTGTCTGCTCTGCTAGCTGAAGCAGGGCGCTGGTGGGGTCCACACCAGGTGATAGGATGAATATAAGTGGGGTTCTTGGAGTTGAATCCTCCATCACCTGCGAGAGCACAGGGTATGGCCTTAGCAGAAGACCACAGAGCAGCAAAGTGAGGGGAGAGAGTGAGGAAATGCACAAGACTGAAACAGGAAGGGGTGCAGGGAGGACCCAGGCTGATGTGGGCAAGGAAGCTGAACTACTGACCAACTTCATGTTAAGCACAGGAGGCTCAATGAAGCGGGAGCCAAGGTTGTTGATGATGAAAGAGGTGACGCAGAAAGCCACTCGGTCCTGGCGCAGAGAACGAACAATCAACATCCGTTGCATTTCGTTGCAGACATTCTCCCACTCTCCTGGGGATGGGTGAACGGGTTGTAGGGAGAGTGAGTCTGGAGGACCCGAATATCTAAAGGAATGGGCACCTTCAGGGAAGGCTGGGGGTGGGCATGGGGATGGGTCAGAGGCAGACCTGACCAAGGGGAACTTGGGACAGGGAGAGGGGCTCGAGAATGAAGTGAAGGGAAAGTGCTGGCAGTGGTTTGGATACCTGGCAGCATAGCTTTCTCCGGAGTGGCATTGGTGTACCATCGGTGCCAGTCACGAGGGTACTGCTCAAAGGAGTTCATGAGTCCATGGAAATTGGTCAGTTTATCTAGCTCTGTGATGTTATCCCAGTAGGCGTCTGCAAGCCAACTAGTACATGGATTGTCCATTTGGCCCTCCCGGTCTAGGACCTGCAGGGAAGGAGAGAGAAAGGGATTGGCTGAAAATACTTCACAAGGGTTATTCACCCCCCACACAGTGAGAAAGCCACGCCTTACATAAAACAGAGTAAGAAGATGAATCTAGGAATCTGAAGTGGGTTGGAAATGACCTTTATTGGAGAAATAAATGAGAGGCTCTAAGACTTAGCATTCTTTAGAAGGATCACATTAAAATTTAGGAAGTGGGCGCCCTCTGGTGGTTATATGGTAATAATATCGTCTCACATCCCAGACCCTTCAGCTCTTCTTGTTAGGTACCATGGGGTGGGTTTCAACTCACAGTCACACTGGATAGAGTCTCTGAGGCTGTAAATCTTTGCAGGACCAGAAAACCTCATCCTTCTCCTGCAGAATGGCTGGTGGGCTTATCTTTGCAGTCTAGTACCTATCCTCTAAAGCCACCATGCTCTCTGCCCGCCAGAAAAGCACAGGTTGTTTGTGCATTCATTCGCTCTTAAAAAATTTGTTGTTGTTTGTGTTCACCAATTATGTATTTTAAGCACTTGGGACATATTAGTGAACAAAATGAACAAATCCTCTGTCCTCGAGGAGCTTATTTTCCAACATGGGAGGGGAGTTAAGAAATCAAAAGCTTAACAAATACTTAAATCATTTCATATACTCGAAGATGACAGTGCTATAGAAAAATCAAGTGGGGCAGAGGAGATGACAAGTACTGGGGGGTAGTCTGAGCTGCCACATGAAAAGGTCAAGTCAGTCATATTGAGCTGAGATTTGAATGAAGACTTGAAGGAGGTGAAAGAGCCAAGTGGACATGTTGGGGCACAGTTTTCCAGAAGAGGGAAGAATCACAGCAGAGGTTCTGAGACGGCTCATGCTTGCATGGAGAGCAGGAGCAGAGTGAGGAGAGCAGTGGTAGGTGACATCAGAGATGGGGGATATCAGTCAAAATGACATCTGCTTCAAAGGATTGCTCTGGTTGTTGTGTTGCTGAAGGTAGGGGATGGGAGCTGTTGATAAAATCCTCATGAGAGATGAAGTAAAGGTGGTAAAAAGAATGAAATTGTTGTCCAAGAGAATTAGAGAATGACTGGTCCAAGAAAATGTAATATGGTTTTCTGGCAGTTTTAAGGGCTCCCTTGGGGTTCATGACCATGAATTTACAGCAAGTCCAGTCAGTATGATGTGTGTCTTCCACCAGCTACATTCAACTGCAAAGGCCACAAAGGGGGGTAGGGGAATCAGAGCTGGATGTAAAAAGGGAGTTAATTTGACCAAGCAAATGCAATACAGTGAGGGAGTGGTCGGGGAGAGGGGAGGGTGGTGCGTCTGCTAGGGAGAGACCGTGATGGTGACCAAGAAATTTAGAGTGGAGAAGGAATGGCAAGATCATACCAATCAAGTGGGTCATAGGTAAGAAGGACTCCAAATTCCCACCTGTAATATGGACAAGGGGGCATAAGGTCAGTTACCCCTACACAGCCCCAGAGTGCTTATTGGCCTGGTTTTCCTCAGCTCCATTGATGGAGGCTTGGAGTCTATGATGAGGAACTGGAATCCTCACTATATCCCTTGCCTATATCCCCAATGGTGTCCACCCCATACTCGGGTTGCCCTCTGGCCAACTCACCACACCACCACGTAGAAAGAAGTTGTATTCATCCATGTTGAGCTTGCCAGAAGCCTCCAGGATTTTGGCACACATCTGAAAGCTGAATAATAACTTGTGGCGCTCAAAAAGGGTGCGACAGGTGTACCTGGGGAAGGAGACAAAAAGAGGCAGGATGAAGTAGGGCAGAATGCTTCCTTAGTGAAAAAGCATAAAGTCACAACAGAGCCCTAGGTAAAAGAAGGACCTCAGTCTTCATCTAATCCAAACCTCTTATAAGGAGCCAATGACTCAGGGATTGAGAGAAGACGTGATTTTAGTGGCGTTCACTGGTAATTAGTCATTCCATCCCATTAAAACAAATGCACACACATTGATTGCCCCCCCCCCCCCACTATATGCTAAGCATTCTGGTAGGTCCTGAAATCACAGGGATGAATGAGCCAGTCTAAGTCCTTACAAGAGTCATGATACAGTAGAGAGGACATCATACATAGAGGTCATCACTAACGAGTGATGGCATAGTGAGTCCTAGAAGCAGGCAGCTCATCATGCTCTTCTTACTCCTGACCTAGTTTTCCTCAGTTCTCTTGCTAGAACATAGGGCAGGGAGACCTAGCTCTCCCTGGGAAGTGTATGAGAAGAGCTGACTCCCAACGTACAGAGGCGTTATCAAGTAAGACAGAAGAGGGAGACGGGAGAGCACTCTAGGTAGAGGCCAGGGGATGAGCACGAACAATGAAGTGAGGAAAGCAGGGCGCACATGGCAGTCAGCGTTGCTCAGATGTCCAAATGTAGGTGGGAGGGCAGGTGAGGCAGGAGGCTGGGGAGGCAGGCATGGGGCAGATTACCAAGTCATCAGGAGCTTTGTGGATCACTGGAGATGAGACAATTGCTGAAGAGCTCATGCCAGGGAAGGATATGGTCTGACACTGGTGAGCTTGGTATAGTAGATTAAGTGACGGGCTGCTAATCAAAAGGTTGGTGGTTTGAATCCACCAGCTGCTCTGAGGGAGAAAGATGAGGCATTCTGCTTCTGAAAATATGTACATCTTCAGAAACCCTGTGGGCAAATTCTACTCTGTCCTATAGGTTGCTATAAGTCGGAATTGACTTAATGGCAGTGGGCTTCTTGTTTGGTTTGGTGGGCTTGGAAAGCGCATGCTGGCAACTGCAGAACAGTAGGCTGGAAAGAGACAAAGAGGAAGGCCGGCTCACTTGGAGATCACTGTGCAGTTCAGAAAAAAGACCACAGTTTGAAGGAAAGTTTATGGACAGAACTTGGTGACTGGTCTGAGGGGTAAGGGAAAGGGACCGGTTAAAGAGACCTCCTAATTTCTGACTGGAGTGACTGGGTAGCAGAGAAGAAAATGAGTTTGATTTGAAATAAGACGGATGTGAGAGAGCTCTGGTATCTCCAGATGGAGAAGTTGCGCTGGGGAAGATGTGACTTGAGAGAGAGTGAAAAACTGGCAGGGTCATGCCATTCAGTGGATCACAGGCAAGAGAAGCCCAAAGTATCTTGTTATTCAACTGCAGCAACATAAACCAACTCCTGGAAAAAAACAAAAGTCCAAATACCAAACTTGTTGCTGTTCCATCTATTCCAATTCATGGACTAAATAAATCCAGCCCCCTATGTTTGAATGCTCATTTTCACAGCTCTGCCCTTGCAGACTTAAGTACACTACAGATCCTTCTTCTGAGACACCGCTGGGTGGATCTGAATCATTAACTTTTCAGTTAGTAGCTGAACTTTGAGCCTTTTCTGTTACACAGGGACTACTCGGCACCTGGAAGCTTCTTGTTAAGTGCCGTTGAGTCAGTTCTGACTCATAGCGATCCTACAAAATGGCAGAATTGTTTCCTAGGGCTTCTGAGACTGAAAATCTTTATGGGAATAGACTTCTCTTTCTCCCAGGGAAGTTACTGGTGGGCTTGAATCACTCACTTTGTGGTTAGTACAGCCCAGTGCTTAACCCATGGCACCACCAGGGTTCCTTAATCAGCCCATACACGCTAGTCAAACTACCACATTGGGTGTGCTGCTCAGGGAAGGTGCATAGAGAGAGGAGTTTGTTGTTGTTGTTAAGTGTCATTGAGTTGGTTCCAACTCAGAGCAAACTTATAAAGAGTTTCCAAGAAGCAGCTGCTGGGTTTGCACCACCGACTTTGCAGTTAACAGTCCAGTGCTTACCCTACATTGCCATTCCAGGACTCCAAGATAGAAGAGCAGTAGACCAAAACTGTTGGTGTAGGGAAACACTAAGACAAAAGTAGCAATCAGCAATAGAGTTAGGTGACATGGCTTCCTGCCTATGGGGGATGGGGAGGAGCCCTCAGACCTGTAGACAGCGTAGGTGTGGTACTCATTCAAGTTGTCAATGCGGTCTTCCAGTTTATTGCTGCGGTGGCTCTTGTCAATGCTGAGGATAAATAGGCTGATGTACGCATCCAGTGAAAATTGGTACATGGGGTCGATGTGGCCCATGTCATTGAGCACGAAGAATAGTACAGATGCCCTCTGGGCACATGGGCGGTAAGCCTGCAGAAAGAGTACAGGCAGGGCTACAGAGGGGCACAGCATGGAGCAAGGGCTGAAGGAGAGGTTCTAGTTGCTTCTTGATGGGTGTCTGGGTGCAGGGATGGAGACCACAGGAACTCACTTCTCGGGCCAAGTCAATGTTGATCTCTGTGGTTTCGCTGGTCTCCAGCTGCTCTGTCACCTCAGTGGCAGTTATCTTGGAGGTTCTCAGGGTGTTCACCAGCTGTACGTCATCCAGCAGGGAGCCTGTGGCCTCATTCAGCAACCTAGAGGGAAGTCAAGAGCCCCCCGGGGCTAACGGATTAAGAGTACTGGGCTGGAGGAAGGGACTCCACAACAGCTTTGTATCTGTTGTGGAGTGGACCACCGGGATGGTGGGCAGGTGAATAGAGTCAGGATCTCACCGAAGGATCTCATCCTCCAGCTCCTTGAGCTTCCTCTTGCCAGCAGCAATGTTGATGACTAGTGTGTCTTTCTGCTCCTCCAGCTCAGGCTTTTCCTTCCGGACCACAATGCCCAACAGTTGTGCCTCCAGGCCCTGAGGCACCGTTACTCAGGGTGAGAGTCCCACAGCTGCAACCTTCACCCTTTCCATTTCCTAAGTCCCTCCAACCCCCAACATTCCACTCAGATCCTTCCCAACTCTACAACCCTTCCTGCTTCACCCAAGCTCAGTCTAGGCTTCATCTCTCACCCACCTGTTCTTTAACAGCAAAGTTGACAATGGTGGTCTTGGCTGAGGTTTCTGGGCTATAGTGGGGGTTGGAGAGCTTTGTGGTGATGTAGAATCGGAAATTGGGATTGTATTCCACCTCCTTATCTCCAATGCGCATCAGTAGCCGACCACCTGCAAGGACCCATGCAACCAAGTGTATGTAGGTTAACCTGTTCCCAAAACAGCATCCAGTGGCAGCATCTCAGAGTGTCCTAATGGCCCCATTTCAGGTCAGTCTGAATGGAGGTGTGATGAGTACGGGACACAACCTTTTCTCACCAGTGCTCCACTCAACTGGTCTCTAGGACTTGCCCCATAATCCAAACCCTGGGTAAACCTGGGTCCTGACCAATTCGAGCTATAGCTTTGTTGAGCACAGGGTTGATTGTAGGGTCCAGATATTCCTGCACGTTCTGTAGCAGCACTGGATGTCCAAACTGGATGGCCTGTTCTAAGATTTGAAGATAATTGTTCATCTGCAGGTCAATGATTCTGAGGCCCTGAGGGAGCAAGGAAAAAAGAAGAAACATTGAGGAATAAAAAGCAACAAAACTGGGCTGTTGTCAAGTTAATTTCAACTCATGGTGACCCGATGTGTTACAAAGTAACTGCTCCGTACTGAAGGAAGAAATGGGGGAAACAGCCTAGTAAGGCTAAAATTTCAGCAAGAGATGGTGGTGGCATTGCTGTTAAGTGCCGTGGAGTCGGTTCCAACTCATAGTGACCCTACAGGATTTCTGAAGCTTTAAAAATCTTTACAGGAATAGAAAGTCTCATCTTTCTCCTGTGGAGTGACTGGTGGGCTCAAAACACTGACCTTGTGGTTCACAGTCCTGTGCTTATCCTAGCATATCCAAAATTGTTTTGACTATTTTAGCTTCTTACATTTCCAAATAAATTTTAGAATTTTAGAATCAGCTTGTTCATGTCTCCAAAAAGTCCTCTCAAATTTTGATTGAGATTCCATTGAATTTATAGATAAAGTTGGGGGTGATTGACATTTTATGAAATTTGCACCTTCCAATCCATGACTAGTCCTTGTGTGGCACTGTAGGGTCAGCATTGGGCTGCTAATGACAAGGTTGGTGGTTTAAACCCACCAGCTGCTCCTTGGAAACCCTATACAGTATCGCTATGAATCATAACTGACTTGAAGGCCCATAGCAACAACAGTCCATGAATGTGATATATACATATCTTTCCATTTATTTGGATTTTTCATTCTCAGCAATATTTTAGTTTTGGTTTCAGTGAAGAGGTGTTGGACACTTTTTGTTAATTTGATCATCAAGTGTATTATTTTTAAAATGCTATTGTAAGGAAGTGATAGATTTTGGGAAAATATTCAAAGTCAATCCCCCAACCTCATACCTGGCTTCCTTCCATGTTCTTAATCCACTTCAGGGCCTGGGCCTGAGGATCAATCATCAGTGCCCACCTAGAGGAGGAAGCTTCAGTCAGAAGACAGGCTCTGTTCTTCCTCTTCCTGTCACTCCCCACAGCATCCTCACCTGTTGCCCCTGGTGACTATGATGCCATTTTCAGTGGAGAAGGCATCTGAAGGCAGCCCCTGGATGTTCCAGTCTCGAACTTTGGTAGGGTTGGACAGGAAATTATCGAAGGTAAAGTGAGGTGAGCAAGGAACCTGCAGATCCCATATCTGGGAAAGGTAGAGTGAGCCCTCAGTGTCCCTGTCCCTTCATCCATTTTTTGGTACCTCAAAGGCCCTACCCAAACCCAATTCTCAGAGCCCAAAGATCTCACTCATCACATTTGAAACACATCTCACCTTCTTGATCCAGATTTGATTGACAATCTCATCCCGGTAGTTGGTCAGGAAGGGTCCCAGGTAGGACAAGAAGGCGGCAGCCAGGAGACAGTCTCCTACAAGGTAGCCTAGGTTTTCTTCCAAGCCCTGGGGAACAGCAGGGGAGGTGGAAACCTGCCTGAGGCCCAGCACTTTGGAAAACACTCAGAATGTTTTTGAAGCTACTCTTCTCTGGTCACTATCTAGATCAAAGAGATTCTTTCCCTTCTTAAGCCTTCACACCCTGAGGAATTCTACCTGGTTCCAATCTGAACTCCCTATCTTTAACAGCAATGTTTACATTCTGATGAGAAGGCCTCATTAGGCCAGGAGTTCATTAGAAGCCTCTACCTTTAGATGTCCCATGTCTGTTGCCCATTCCAGTCAAAGGGCTATATAAACAGCCCTCATGTGTGCTTAACAGCCCTACCAAAACACTGCAGCAGATCTCTGTTGTTGTTGTTGTTAAGTGCCATCGAGTCGGGTCCGACCCATAGCGACCCTGTACAGGGTTTCCGAGGGTGTAAATCTTTACGGGAGTAGAAAGCCTCATCTTTCTCCCGCGGAGGAGTAGAAAGCCTCATCTTTCTCCCGCGGAGCGGCTGGTAGTTTCGAACCGCTGACCTTAAGGTTCGCAGCCCGATTCGTAACCACTACGCTACCAGAGCTCCGTAACCACTACGCAGCAGATCTCCAGTGGTACAGAAAGTCTCAGTAAAAGTGAGAACTCTAGGGAGGGAGAGGGGAAGGGGAAGCATTCCCAACCACCAGTCTTACATTTCCCTATACCCAGGTGTCCCCATCTTCCCTGGGTGTGCCTGATGGGCAGAAAGAAAGGGGAGGCAGTTGGCACAGCTGATCTTACCTTTACTGTCTCTTCCCACCGGGCCTTCTCACCAGCTAAGCCAGACATCAACATGCCGGCTCGCTCCAACTTGAGCTCCATCTCCTCAGACTTCTTGCGCAGCTCCTCCTTCTGTGCCAGCTTCTCAGCATACTGCTTCTTCAACATCTCCAGTTTCTCAGCCACCTGGGAGGGTCAGAGTACAGGGGATTAAACGCAGGGTTTGAGGTCATACTGTTTTGGGTTCAAATCATGACTACTACTTTGAGCCTCAGTTTCTTCACATGTATAATAATAATAATAATAATACTTACCCTCTAGGATTGTTGTAAAGAGTAAGTCAGATAAAATATGTGTAATATGTTTTCTTTCCCTTCCCTACACTGCCCTTCCGTAGAGCCTAAAACTACCTAGTAATGAAATCTCAGACCAGGCTGGAGACCGTCCTCTTGTATAAATCATACATGACACAAGATATGTTGGTAACAGAGGTTCAGATAGCACAGAAATAACTGACATTCCATGCCAGGCACCATCCCTAAGGTGAGACCTTGAGATGGAAGAAGAGATAGAAAATGAACCAAGGATTCGTTGGAGAGAGGAAGAGGAGATGCATTCAAGAAAAGGGTTCAGGAGAGATTCTCTCTGCAACCTGGGGGCTGAATGACATGACAGTCGAGGACCAAGGTCTAACACTAGAGATAGGAACATGGGAAGAGCTATATCACTAGACACATCATTGCTAGTCTGTGGGCTCTGCGTAACCACTTGCTCTCGAGTTGACTCTGACTCATAGTGACACCACATGTGTCAGAATAGAACTGTGCTTCATATGGTTTTCAGTGGCTGATTTTTCAGAAGTAAATTGTGGACTTGAACCTTAAACCTTTCAGTTAACACCTTGTGCATTCATTGTTTGCATCATCCAGGGACTCCATCCAGGAATTGCCTTTGAAGCCATATGCATCGCTGGTAAATCAATTATGACTCACAGCGACTCTGTGTGTTACAGGGTAGAACGGTTCCATAAGGTTCCTTGACTATAGTCTTTATGGAAGCAGATCTTCAGGCCTTCCTTCTGAAGTGCTGCTAAGTGCATTCTATCTGCCAACCTTTAGATTAGCAACTGAACACTAACTGTCTGTACCACCCAGGGACCTTGGGAATTACAAACTAGGAGATTATTAAATTTGCAAAATCTCTGCATATACTGACATTTAATCTCACTGTGTAATTTCTGAAATTCTTCTGTTTTAGTTATCTAGTGCTGCTATAACAGAAATACCATAAGTAGGTGATTTTACCAAACAGAAATTTATTTTCTCAGAGTTTTGGGGAACTAGAAGTCTGAATTCAGGGTGCCAGCTCTCAGGGAAGGCTGTCTATCTCTGTCGGCTCTGGAGGAAGGTCTTGATCTCTTCTGAGCTTCTGCTTCTGGACAATCTTTATGTGTTGGCATCCTCATCCCTTTCTCCTTGCTTGCTTGAGTTTAATCTCTTTTATATCTCAAAAGAGATTGACTCAAGATACACCCCCCCCCCCCCGCACTAATCATTCCTCATTAACATAATAAAGACAGCCCATTCCCAAATGGATTTATTGCTGTATGTGCTGTCCAGTGGGTTCTGACTCATAACAACCTTGTTTAGGGTTTCCAAGCCTTTAAATCTTTTGGAGAACAGAAAGTCTCATATTTTTCCTGCGGAGCAGTTGGCAGGCTTGAACTGTGGACAATGTAGTTCATAGTCTAGTGCTTATTGTGGGGAGTCACCATGATTCCTGAACTACAGACACAGACACAGAGGTTAAGATTTACAACAAGTATTTTTTAGGGGAATGATTCAATTAATAACATATGCTATGTTGCCCAATATATGTTAAATGGAAACAGAAAAGAAAATGAATATTCAGCCTTGAGCATAGGATTGGCTTGAAGTAGATTTTAATGCTGTTCTAGCCCATTTCAGAGTTTTCTAGGGCTGTTACCTAAACCAATGGTTCTTAAACCTTATTACACATCAAAATTGGGTAGATACTTCTTGAAAGAAAAACTAGCAGGAAAAATCCAAAACAAAAATGGCAGTCTGACTGGCTACTACAAGAATAAGCAAGTTGTTCACTGGGGAGCCATCAAGGCAAGCAATCAAGTCCCAGCAGGACAAACCTCCCTCCAAGACTGAAACTCAATGGGAATACGTGAGCAGGCACATAAGATTGCTGGTGAACACGTTAGTCAGCTAGTAAATGAAAGAGGGGGAAAGGCAGCAATGAAGAAATGGGCTGAGTTCTACCACATTCCATAGACTCCCGTTGACTTGGAGATGAGAGTGATAAGTGAAAGGGCTGGTTGGTCTGAAGTTTGGTTAGACCTGGGGACTCATAAGCCCATGCACAAGGATATAGCCACAGATGGCTAGAGCTGAGAGTGAAGCGTCCAGCTGATATGAAGTGAGGGGAGATGCACAAGAACACCCAAACTTGCAGATAGTACCCATTTGACCTAGCCCCGATGGCTTGACTAGATGAAGATAAAAAAACAATTTTTGATAAAGGAAACAAGTGTAAATTGCTACAATTTGATAAACTTGACCTATACTTATGGATATAGTAGCTCAAAATACCAAATGAGAGGGAAAAAGTCTTCATCCTACCCCCTCTGTACACAGGGATGATAGGGATGGGCAATTTAGACATTGGCTACCTAAAATTGGGGGGGTGGGGCTATAAAGGTACGAAGTAACTGCCTTACAAGTTTTCAAGAGGGAGTTTAGTTTCAGAGAGTGCAGGGGAAGGTAGAATCCCCACTGAATAGTTTTCATCTTGTCTAGATGGGTCTGGTGAAACGACATGGGGATAAGATTCTTATGATTCAATAGTGAATAACTGTCACAACTGTAAAGGTACAAGTTTTGTAACAAAAGGGAGGAGTAGTTAATCTTATAGTACAGGAACAGAGCACCCTAGGACCATCAAGGGAGACAAGCAGGAGCAGAATGTGGGACCCTATCCAGAGAAGCAGTAACACCAGAGATGGAGGCAGAGATGAGGACATGGAGAGGGAGCAGCTGAAAACTCTAGACTCATGGAAGAGAAAGGTTGTGTGCTGGCGGCTGGGAGGCAGGCTTGCAGACTGTGCCCTTTGGTTGTTTAAATGATTATATATTCCTGAACGTTTTTGTGTACATCCTCCACCCGCCCCCCAAAAACAAAAACAAACCAGGGGGAATAAATAGAACAAATACTGTTGAATGATGATGCATGGCGGGGATTACAATCATTGCAATGAAACGATGAGTGCAAAATTGATATTCTCCCATGTACACTATCACTCAATTCACAATAAAAATAAAAAAAAATAAAGAAGTGTCAGAGGAGCAGCAGCAGCAGAACCAAGAGTTAAATACCACATAGAGTTGTGGACTTCCCAGTCCTCAGAACAAGGAAAGCTGAGTGCCTTTGGGCAGGAAGTTCACTTATGGAATGGGCTGCCTCCAGGCACTTGACTGGAGAGCTAGGGTTGCTGACGCCTGGAACTAGAGTCGAGCCCCTTTGGGCTGAGGCTTATAGTAGAGTGCAGTGCCATTTGGGCTTCCTAAGAGGGCTTTGTAATGTTGCTGGAGCAGAGCAGAGGCCAGGCCAAGGAGCTAAGGCCTGGTTTGTGGGCACGGTAGAGGAGAGGCTGTCCTGACTAGAAGAACTGTACCCTGAACATTTCTGATCCTGAATTATAGCCTGTTCATTTCCCTAATAAACTCTATAACTGCGGGGGAGAAAAAATGGGGTCTGGGAAAAATATTTTTCAGGGCCCCCAAAATATATTTTCAGGGTTAAAAGTATTTAACCCTATTTATATTGATATACAATACAGCTGGGCTCTGGGTTTCTTTCCTAATTTCTTGGCCCAGGATATGATTCATCCAGGGATGAGCAATCTTTTCAAATGGATTGCCACATGTCTGATTATTCACACTTGGAAAAGGAGGAAAAGAGCAAAGTTTTGATGAGAGGTTGGGAGTGGCAATAGCAATAGGGATATAATGATGGATCAACATGTGTAGACATAAGCCCATTCACTCAGCCTCCTGAATTCTCTCCAGACGGGACTAGAAAAGGCCTCAAGGGCAGTTTCACTCCCAGCAGTAAAGATGCTAGCATCAGAAAAGAACAGGGATGAGCTAAGGTGGTTATGTGGAAAAGGGAGTCAGGAAACTGGGATTCCAGTTCCAACTGTGTAACTAGTCAGGTGACCTTGGGAGAGTCACTTGGATCTCATAGCCTATGGGTCCTTATCTGATTTGAGGAGGATGGACCTGGATGTTCTTCATGTTGTTTCCTTGTTAAGTGCTGTTGAATTGGTTCTGACTCATAGAGACCCTATACAGGGTTTCCAAGGAATGACTGGATTGGTGGGCTTGAACTGATGACCTTGAATTCAAACTGACCTTGTGGTCCAGTGCTTATCCTACAGTGCCACACCAGGATGTTCTTCATAGTTGTCTTCATTTAAGACATTTTGGAATTGTATAACCAGCTTTGATTATGTAAAAATCTAAAACCTCTATATTGTCACAAGTTTCTCTATTGCCAAACCATTGGTGGTACAGTGGTTCAAGAACTTGACTGCTAGCCAAGGGATGGTAATTTGAACCTACCAGCTGCACTGTGGTAGAAAGATGTCGCAGTCTGCTTTTGTAAAGATTATAGCCTTGGAAATCCAATGGGACAGTTCCCTTTTCCTATAGGTTTGTTATGAGTCAGAATCAACTTGATTCTGAGATGATTGTTAAAGATGGCATCAACAATGTAAAGGACAAATGAAAAACTAAAGATTGGAAACAGTGACTATGTCCATCAAAGGGGGCATGGTTAAATTACGTTAGATCCATTCAGTGGAATATTATATTCTTTATGTTCTGATATGGACCAATCTTCAATGCACAGGTAAATGACAGAGAAGGTGCACATTGGTCCCAATGGTCATAAACTGAGCCAGAGCCTGGCAAGCCCAGGAAGGGGAAGTCCTTTAAGTTTCCACGAAGTTTTGATCAAAAGATTCTCTGTACACAGGATCCTATATTATGTGATTCTGAAGATCTGCTGTGGCTGACCTTGGACTTTTATTTATTTATTTATTTAAACTTTTTATTGAGAATTGAGTGAAGGTTTCCAGAGCAGATCATCAGTTT